ATATGGACAGAAGATAGAGTCTTAAAACCAGACACATTATAATCCATGATTATGTTCTGTTGTGTGTCAAAAGGAGATAATCAGCATAGGCTTGACCTAATTAGTCAAGCCCTGTAAAATCAGAGAATTTTCTTCTGCTGTTTAGAGCAGGGCAAGTCAGAGATTCAAGGCACAGAAAGCCTTCAATGTGCCATTGCTGGATTGAAGAAGGAGGCCGCATGGCAGGGAAGTGGACTAGCCTCCAGGAGCTAAGAATATCCCCAACTGACAGTCATCAAGGAAATGGAGACTGCAGTCCAATACACACAAAGAGATGACTTCTGCCAGCAGCAAGAATGATATTGGAAGCAGATTTTTACCGAGATCATCCACATGAGACCTCAGTGGGGTCTACATGGGCATCTTGATTCTAGCTTTGTGAGACCCTAAGCAGAGAATGAGGTCATGCTGGACCAGACTTCTGACCTACAGACCTATGAGCTACTAGATGAATGTAGCTTTCAGATGCTAAGTCTGTGGTTATACGCCTACAAAAAATTAATACATTAGAGTTAAGTCAAATCCATATTCAATGGATACACAGTGTTTGTGTACATGTACACATATGTATAGATGATAATTGATGGAAATGACATAATTACAGTTTTTACTAGTGAATGGTGGGGTTAAATGTTATCAATATATTCATATTGGTATTGGAATGCACTTTCCACATTTTAAAAATAGACAGTGGGTTACTTATTAATCAGAAATAGAACACATTAGAACTTTGTTCGTCAAATTTGATAGATTTCAGATTTTTCAAAAGGTATTGGAAATATGATAATAGGCAAGCATGTACACAATGAAGGTTATAAAGAGTGGACTCTCCTGTATAATTTCCCTGATTGCCTCACTTCCCAGAAGGAACCACTGTCCAAAATTTTTTGTTTAGTCATGAATACATCCCTAAACAAAACACAATTGCTTTGCATATTTTTATCCCTAACTATATAAGTAACATATTTATATATCAATTATTGAAATGTTTTCCTCTGAAAATAGTGTTTCTGAGATGTTTCTAATCAAGCGGCTTTGGGACTATTGATATTTACCCATGTTCCTGTGACCAGGTTTGCTATGTGTTAAGACTCTCTGCACTGCACACCTGAGAGGGCAGCAGCGGACAGAGCCTCACATGCTTCTATCATGGATGCTTCCCAGTGTCTCCACGAAGAAGTTGTACTGATTTATCAGCTCCATGCTGTATATGGGGTTCTTATGGCTCCAACATTTCAATTCAAACAAAATGCAACATAAACACAAACTCAGTGACTGTTTCTTCTTTTCAAACTCTAGAATTATTCCAAGACATAAAGTAAAATGCAGAAACATGAGCTTAGCATTTTTTAATGCATCTGTGAAATACACTATTTAAAAGATAATACAATAGGGAAAAATAAAGTAAAATCTAATGTGCCAATAACAGGATATCAGAATAAAAAATACTAAAAATTTGTGAAACCTATTGTTTGCACAGATCTGGAAAAACAGATGCTTTCATATTGTTGTTGGATGGAATATACACATTATTAAAGAGGTTTTGAAGTTCAATTACATAGGAAGCATTTAAAATGTTAAATGGTCATGCTTTTTGACAAAACAGTTTCAATTCTAGGAATTTAGCCTCCTGATATGGCCTCAAGAGTCTCCTGCTGTCACCACTCGTGTCCACACTGCTCAGGGCTGAGATGACCATTTCCATAGTTGGTCCAGTTCCTTCAGGCCCCAGACCCTCAGTCAACTACCCCTGGATCAAAACAGGAAAATCAAGTCTGAATCATGGCTGGATGTCCAGCCTTGAAGGACCATCCACTAATTCACCACAAACATTGATATAGAGCAATGCTCAGGTCCCAACTCCTGGAGAAAATTACAGACCTCAGACCTCATCCCTATCTGGGAGAAATCTTCTTTCCTCTCCCATCTTCATGTCCTGAGAGGCTCCCACATCCCTACCAGGTACAAGCAGCCCAGTCCTTTCAACAAATGAAGTTCTCATAAAGGATGGAAGGAACAGTGGCTCTAGAAGGCTTCTGCTTCCAGCCCTCTCACAAACTTCCCCTGAAGTAAGGAGAGGGGACACCAGCCATACTGCAGGGAGGGTAAGCAATTACCCTCCTTAACAGAAATTAACCTCCTTAACAGTACATATCCAAATACATTTGCTAAAGGTCTACCACCAGCAATTCAAGGTGCCCAGGCTGGCAGGTTCTACTCCTGGCTCTGGCAGTGGGCCTGGTGAGTAACCTCTGCCATTCAGCTCTGTGTTTAGGAGCATGTATTTTATAGTTGCCGACATCCATGAGGAGGAGAAGTTACTGGTACCTCACTAGCAGGGCTGTTGTGAGGTTAAAACCAGATACTAATGCGAAGAAACTGGAGCTGCGCCCAGTAAACCATCTGCCTTACAAATAGTAGCTGTCTTTCCTCCTCAAGGCAGGGAACTCATGTGGCTCTCGCCTGCCACCTCAGCCAGGACCCCTTAACTAAGGGGCACATCATAATCACCTTGATGAACCTTTTCTAAACCCTCATCTGAAACTCCCTTGTTCGTGGAAAAACAGGACTTTTGCATCAAGGATCATTAATGGCATTAAGTTCTAATAATATGAGCCTCAGAAAACAGATATACCCACTTGGCACCAACAGTATATGCAAGCGTCTGCTGGCTTTTCATTCCACCAATACCAAGTATTACCAACTTTTGTCTTTATTGCCAATCTGATCTGCTCATTTTCCCCAGGCGTGTCCCATTGGAAGAATCAGTTCTGATGGTCGTTAAACTTACAGATTCACAGGGTCATCCCCTGCAATTGCCAGAGTTAGCAAATAAAAAAACAGGATTTAAAAATTTTGTTACTTATTTTACTGCTTGTTTATTTTTATTTATTTGTTTTATTTATTTTATTAAAATCCAGGTAGGTTTCAAGTTTAGATAAATAAAATAATACTACATACCCCATAAACTAAAAAAAAAATTCTGTTAATCCTGAATTTAAGGTTAACTGAGTTAATTTTAACCTGGTAACTGTATACGTGGAGGGCTCTGTGGGGAGCCAAGATGCTCAGGTCAACAGCCTTAACTGAGTTCCCAGCAGACACGAACACCAGTTGTCATTCATGTGAGTGAGCTCTCTCAGATGTCCTAGATGAGTGGAACCTCCAGATGACTGCAGCCCCAGGTGACAGACATCTTATACAGCAGAAAACATCCAGCTGGGCCCAGTTAACACACAAAATACTGAGAGAAAATAAATAGCTATTAATAGCTAATAGCTATTAAGAAGGAATGGATATCTAAAACATTATGGTTTTGGTGAACTTTTCTTCATTTTCTGTGACGTGTTATCATTGAATAAGGAAGGGATTTTCTTATCCTTGAAGGTTTAGTGGAACTTGATTAAAATTGTATCATCTGAGAGTTGGCTTACATGTGGGTACAGATTTCTGAACATGTCATCAATTCTTCTTGAAGGGATCCCAAGGGCAATTTACATGATATCTATTTTTCATGCTAGTCTTAGAATTTGAAGCATACTCTGTAAGATGAATTCCCACTGCAATCATGTGAATTAAGGTACTGAAAGGGTGTTGCTGCAAATTTTATGAGAAAACCTGAGAGGTTGTCTTAGTGAGTATTCATTCTGAACAAGGGCAATTTACTCAGTTTTAGAAGTGTTTCTCAAAGAGGGTGTCCTGAAACACTTTATCCTGCTATAGTGATAGCTCTTGGCAAGGAAGTAACTTTCCTTGAGCACACATGGACAGGGCTCCTTTAGGAGACAGCAGATAGATATGCATTGCAGTCCTTGGTCTTTATGACTGTCTCCGTGCAGCACTGCTATATGGATAAGTCTGTCCAATTCTAGAACTTATTCATAGTAAGCTCACATGACAGCAAATCTAAGTCACATTTTCCAATATCACCTTGTAAGAGATAAAGTCAACATATGTTTCTCCTTATTCTTTTTCTATGTTTCTCAGTTGGTTTAGAGCTTAGACTAGAAGCAGAAGAGTATTTTGGGGGCCCCTTAAAGATCTAAGCATTGTGAAGCAAGAACTATAGGAATAATTGAAGAGTCAGTGAGACACAGAGGAGTGAACCTGTGGGCCTATTGTAAGTCCCATCCCTGAAGGCAAAACTGAACAAGTGCCCCTGAAGGATCGCTTACTGCCAAGAATTTGAAGGGAAAGAGCTTGGGCAGAGTAACATGTGTCTTCCAAATTCTCCAATTGGGTAAGTCATTCCTGCTGTAAAGAGAAATGAATGTGTAGAAGCTACATGTATATTTGGTAATGGATGTATTTTCCACGTAAAAAAAAAAAAAAAAAAAAAAAATACCAGGAATGAAGGATAAGAATTTCCTCAAGGCAAACTACTGTGTGTTTCCATTGACTAGCTTCCTGCCTACTAAATTATTATATTATTCTAGGCCTGCCTCCCTGAAATAATTATTACTCAAATAATTTTTGTGTTTCTAGACCATTCAGTCACTTGACTATAAACAATCTCTCCGTTTTTCTGCCACAGATAACCAACTGCCTAGAATGGTGTGTGAGTTGTACATGTTTCTCCTCAGAGGACTAGCTCATCTCCAGGAGCCCTAGGACACCTCTCTGGGCTTCTGTGTACTGATGATACTCCTCTAAGGTCACTTTTAAAGCTAAATTCCTGACAACATGGACTTCCTTACCTCCACCATAATGAGTAGAATGTTGAAAATTGCCCGGATCCCAGCCTAGTTCCTCTAGTTGGTGTGTTTTCTTAGGGAGTGAGCTGAAGAGTGAAGGTCTTTTGCTTTAAGAGAAAGGCTGGGTTGGGGTGGAGGAGCGGGTTGTACATAAACATTCTCAGGTGTGGAAGACGAGCCAGTGCGACGCGGTTGCCATAGTAACCTGACGTCATATGGCGACGGTGACGACTTTTTAATGAGCCCAATTTGGCCTGGGGAGAACAGCACAGTCCCACCTTCAGGCGTTTGGACTCAGTGAAGGTTGTTAGTGCCCAGCAGTGTGGGCTGAATCTCCGTGGGGTTTAGAGAGACGACAGAATCCCAGATCCACGTCCCATCGTTCCCACTTTGGGGATCGGCACTCTGGCTGTTTCGTGAGGGAGAGAGAGGTGGGTCTCTTCTGGCCCCAGTGAGTGTGGTGTCCTGCTCCAGGGTTTCCCTGGGCTACTTTCTATGTAAAGGCGGGACGTGGGAGGATGAGAAAAGTAAAGACCCTCTTTGAGCTCAGGTTCCCCCTCTGTAAAACGGGGATAAAAATACCCGCAGGATTGCTGGAACCTTAAGTGGTAACACAGGTGCAAGATGATAGCCCTGTGGTTATTGCAGGATCAGGAATGCCTGTATGAAGTCCGGCCTCTTGTTCTGTTTCAAACTTTCTTACGGCATAGACAAGGGAGAAACTTTATGTTTAACATGCATTTATGATAACTTTATATTCTGACTGCATAAATAATAATCAGTAATTCTCATCAACACTATCAAATGAATGTTGAAATATGCCATTAGTTAGAAGGCCTTCCTAGCAATTTGAGATTGTAATATGCATTCTCCCGTATCTGTTGTATAATAAATTTGTTTATGAACCATAATTTATAAAATGTCAGTTAAAATGTTATATGATGTTTTGATATATTTTATATATTGTGAAACGGCTGAATCAAGCTAATAAACCCATGCATTACCTAATGTACTTATTTTTTTTTTGTGGTGAGCACTTAAAATCTACGCTTTTAGCAGTTTCCAAGCAAGTATACTTATATTTTTATTAACCATAGTCACCATGATGTACAATAGATCTCTTGAATTTATCCTTCCTCTCTAACTGAAATTTTGTATCCATTGACCATCTCCCTAATGCCTTCCCCAGCCTCTCTCTAGTAATTACTATTCTACTCTCTGCTTCTATGAGTTCAACTTATTTAGATTCCATATGCAAGTGAGATTATGTGGTATTTGTCTTTCTGTGCCTGGCTTATTTCACTTAATGTCCTCCAGGTTCATCCATGTTGTCACAAATGACAGGATTTCCTTCTTTTTTTCAAAAAGCTGAATAGTATTCCATTGTGTGCATGTATGACATTTTCTTTATTCATCTGTTGATGCATACTTAGGTTGATTCCATACCCTGGCTATTGTGAATACTGCTGTAGTAAACATGGGAGAACATATATCTGTTTGAGGTACTGATTTCATTTCCTTTGGGTATATACTCAGAAGAGGGATTGCTGAATCATTTGGTAGTTCTATTTTTAGTTTTTTACAGGAATCTCCATACTGTTTTCTGTAATGTTTGTATCAATTTACATTCCCAAAGTTTTACAAGGGTTCCATTTTTTCCAAATCCTTATGAACACTTACCATCTTTTGTTTTTTTAAATAATAGCCATCCTAACAAGTGTGAGACAATATCTTGTTTTGATTTTAATGTGCATCTCCCTGATGATTGGTGATAATGAGAACTTTTTCACGTACAAGTTGGCCACTTGTATGTCTTACTTTAAAAAATGCATATTTTATTTTTATTATATATATTAACACATTATTGTACATATTTATGGGGTACACTGATATTTCAATACATGTATACAATGTGTGATGATCAAATCAGGGTAGTTAGCATATTCATCATCTCAAATCTTTATCATTTATATGTGCTGGTAACATTCAACATTCTCTCTTCTAGCTATTTGAAAAAAAAATACATTAAATTATTGTTAGTTTAGTATAATGCTATAGAACACTAGAGATTATTCTTCCTATCCAGGATATAGAGCAGGCGTCCCCAAACTACGGCCCGCAGGCCGCATGCGGCACCCTTAGGCCATTTATCTGGCCCGCCGCCGCACTTCAGGAAGGGGCACCTCTTTCATTGGTGGTCAGTGAGAGGAGCACAGTATGTGGCGGCCCTCTGACAGTCTGAGGGACAGTGAACTGGCCCCCTGTGTAAAAAGTTTGGGATGCCTGATATAGAGCATGGGCTAGTCTTCAATGGTGGTTAATCTGGTGTCTCTAGTACAGACATGCAAAGTGACCTTGGCTTGGGGCCAAGGGTGTGACCTAGGTCTCTATGGCAGTGGCTCTGGTGTCTGAGGCATGGGCAGGCACAGTGAGGCACAGAGCTGGGGTCTGGAGTATGAATATTTACAGAGTAACTGCAGCTTGGGGGTCAGTGACGCATGCAGGATTGGGACAGGTGGCACCTCTGGTCCCAGAGTGGTAAAGTAGCTGCCGCTGCTTGAGATGAGAGGTGTGTAGCCTCTCCTTCCTCTCTGGGGTTCCTTGGGCAGGAATGGCTGTTGGTTATCTCAGTGGCAAAAGATGCCAGTGTCTTCTTCAGAGCAGACTGCTAGGGACCATGGTGGTTCCTGCCACATGGCTAGTAGCAATAACCTCTGTCTTTCTTCTTTGCTTCTAGAAATCTCCCAGCATCTCAAGTATACTGATTTCACCAGCAGTATTTTCTGTGTAGATATTCCCCATTTTTTTTTTTTCTACTGTATTGCTGCAGATTCTTAAATGGGCCCCTGAGCCCTCCCATGAATACTTTAGTTTGTGGATAGCTGTCTACACTTGTTTTTTGTGGCAGGGGATGATGAAAGCTGATATCTCCTACTCTGCCCTCTTGGTCCTTCAGTATCTAGTTTGCCCTATTCTAATGATACCCTGCCATGTCCCCTTAAGTAACCATATATGCTTAAATATGATTGTTTTTATTTTCCTGGACATAACATTTTCAGTTCTGTTGTACCCAGCCTACCCGTTCCTCCCACTGTCCTGTCTCCAAACAAATACAGCACTTCTGTCTCTATAGCGTAGATTTCATTGATTTACGTGGAATCATAGAGGATGTTTTTTAGGGATCTGGCTTTTTTCATTCGCTCTGTTTCTTTTTAGATTTATTCGTTTTATTGCCTATTTCAATAGTTCATTTTTAAATTACAGAATAGCGTTACAGTATAGGACATACTACAATTCATTTTGTCCATTACTTGTTGATGGACATTTGGGTTGTATTCAATTTAGGGGCTCTTGCATATGTGTCTTTACAGAGAAATGTGTTTTCTTTCTCTAGGGTAAATAGGATTGCAGTGGCTGGATCATGTTACAAATATAAGACTAACGTTGTAAGAAACTGTCAAACTATTTTCAAAGTGGTTGCACCATTTTTCATTGTCTCAGCAGAGCTTCATCCTGTACAATCTTGTCAGTGCTTGGTATGATCAGTATCTAACTTTAGTGATTTTCATGGGGAGATAAAACAAGAAGACCCAATGTAGCTTAAATTAATTAGGCCACAAAAAATACTATTTAAATGAATAACATTTAATCTACTGTGCTATAATTTTCAGTTGTGGTGACTTCAGAGCATGGTACAACCTCTGAATGATTAAAACCTAGACTAGCGTGGTGGCTCACACCCGTAATCCCAGCACTTTGGGAGGCCGAGGTGGGTGGATCATGAGGTCAAGAGATTGACATCATCCTGGTCAACATGGTGAAACCCCGTCTCTACTAAAAATACAGAAAAAATTAGCTGGGCATGGTGGTGCGTGCCTGTAATCCCAGCTACTCAGGAGGCTGAGGCAGGAGAATTGCCTGAACTCAGGAGGCGGAGGCTGCAGTGAGCCGAGGTTGCGCCATTGCACTCCAGCCTGGGTAACAAGAGCAAGACTCCATCTCAAAACAAAAAAACAAAAAACAAAACAAAACCAAAAACCCTAGACTAGACCAGTTATTCATAAAAATATTTCTATCATTTATTGAACCAAGCAATTTGATCAGTAGAACAAGTTACCCTAGGGATAATAACATGATCATATCTCAAAAGTTCATATCAACCATGGGAGTTTACAAGTTTGATGTGGGAACAGAACATCCCAATAGTATAACAGCTATTAATGGTTCATGTTTTCAGTGTCCAAAGCCCTACATGATTCGAGTTCAGGATCTGGGTTGGTTTCCACCTATTTAATATTTTCCCAATACAAAAAGAGAAGAGAATTAGGGCACACAAAAAGCACCCCCAATTCTATAGATGATGTAATCTAGATCTAACTTATTATTGTACACCTTGCCCCAAAACAGGGCTTGTTAAGATAGTAGAGCCCAGTAATTGCATAAAACTTGAAACTTTATAATCAGAGGTTCAATTACTCTTTTAAAAAAATAATTTTTGGCCGGGCGCGGTGGCTCAAGCTTGTAATCCCAGCACTTTGGGAGGCCGAGGCGGGTGGATCACGAGGTGGAGAGATCGAGACCATCCTGGTCAACATGGTGAAACCCCGTCTCTACTAAAAATACAAAAAATTAGCTGGGCATGGTGGCACGTGCCTGTAATCCCAGCTACTCAGGAGGCTGAGGCAGGAGAATTGCCTGAACCCAGGAGGCAGAGGTTGCGGTGAGCTGAGATCGCGCCATTGCACTCCAGCCTGGGTAACAAGAGCGAAACTCCGTCTCAAAAAAAAAAAAAATAATAATAATTGTTCATTTTATTTTTAATTTTTGTGAGAATACAGTAAGTGTATATATTTATGGGGTACATGAGACATTTTGATACAGGCATGTAATGCATATTAATCACATCATGGAAAATGGGTATCTATCCCCTCAAGCATTTATCCTTTCTGTTATAAAAAATCCAATTATACTCTTTTAGTTGTTTCATTCTAACTATTTTTTGTACCCATTAACCATCCCCGCGTCTCCCCAACCCTCCCCAATACCCTTACCAGCCTCTGGTAACCATCCTTCTACTCTATCTCCACAGGCTCAATTGTTCTGATTTTTAGACCCCACAAATAAGTAAGAACATGCAATGTTTCTGCTTCTATGCCTGGCTTACTTCACTTAGCATAATGATCACCAGTTTATCCATGTTTTTGCAAATTACTGAATCTCATTATTTTTTATGGCTGAATAGTACTCCATTGTGTATAAGTACCACATTTTCTTTATTCATTCGTCTGTTTGATAGATACATAGGCTGCTTCTAAATCCTGTCTATTTTGAAAAGGATGGCAACAAACACGGGAGTGCAGATGTCTCTTCAATATACTGGTTTCCTTTCTTTTGTGTATCCAGAGTAGGATTTCTGGATCGCATGGGTAGCTCTATTTTCAGTTTTTTCAGGAACCTCTGAAATGTTCTCTACAATGGTTGTAGTAATTTACATTCCCATTAACAGTGTACAAGGGTTCCCTTTTCTCCACATCTTCATCTGCATTTGTTATTGCCTGTCTTTGGGACATATGGCATTTTAACTGAGAAGAGGTGATATCTCATTGTAGTTTTGATTTCCATTTCTCTGATGATTCATGATGTTGAGCACCTTTATATTCCTATTTGTCGTTTGTATGTCTTCTTTTGAGAAATGCCTATTCGGATATTTTGCCCATTTTAAAATCAGGTTATTGTATTTATTCCTATAGAATTGAGATACTTATACATCTGGTTATTAATCGCTTGTTAGATGTAGTTTGCAAACATTTTTACCCATTATGTGGATTGTCTCTTAAATTTGTTGTTTCCTCTGCTGTGCACAAGCTTTTTAACTTGATGTGATCCTACTTGTCCATTTTTGCTTTCGTTGCCTGCGCTTGTGGGGTATTACTCAAGAAATATTTGCACAGACTGATGTCCTGGAGAGTTTTTCCAAAGTTTTCTTATAGTAGTTATATAGTTTGAGGTCTTATATTTAATTCTTTAGTCTACTTTGATTGGATTTTTATATATGATGAGAGGTAGGGGTCTAGTTTCATTCCTCTGCATATAGGTATCCAGTTTTCCCAGCACCATTTATTGAAGATACTGTCTTTACAGTATATGTTCTTCACACCTTTATAAAAAATGATTTCATTGTAGACGTATGAATTTCTTTCCAGGTTCTTTATTCTGTTCCATTTATCCTCATGTCTGTTTTTATGACAGTAGTATGCTGTTTTGGTTACTATAGCTCTGTAGTATAATTTGAAGTCAGGTAATGTAATTCTTAGGGTACATTTTTCTATTTCTGTGAAGATTGTCATTGATATTTTGGTAGAGATTGTATTGAATCTGTCGTTGCTTTGGATAGTATTGGGCATTTTGACAATGTTGACTCTTCCAATGCGTGAACATGGAATATTTTTCCATCTTCTGGTGTCCCCTTCAATTTCTTTCATCAGTCCTTTGTAGTTTTCAT